CTCTTATACACATCTAGATGTGTATAAGAGACCAGACTACGACAGAGAGAGACAGAGTTGTGACTTGAGACTTGACGACATTGGATCCAGACTTGACATTTGGGATTCAGACATTTCGACGAGGGACTATTTGGGCTTGTGCCGAAGACTTGGTGTTGACGACATTCCCATCTTCCCCTCCTCTTCATCTATCCCCTTCCTCTTCGTCTGTGTATGGTATGGGCTGGCGCAGTCTTCCTGTGTGAAGCGCCAGACCCATTCACACCATGTAATGATGATGATGTATGTTCAGGGCTGCATTACAACATTGATTGTTCGGATCACTGGTATCCAAGTCTTCCGCTGTGTTATCTTGTACTTTGTATTGAAAGGTCGGTTCTTGTTCTGGTCTGCACGTTACAGTATGCAACACCCGCTGAATGCCTATGTGCTTGCTGGGCGCAGTTGCACTCAACGAAGTCACAAGACTCGCATGGTTGTGCCATCGTGTGTTTTGTTAAAAGTTCTGTCATGTGCGATGCGTCCCCAAATGACATCTCGATTTCTGCAAGGGGTTTGGCATTCGTGCATGTTGCCAGGGGAAGATGACATGAGAAGATTTCCTTGTCGTGGCTGCGTTAGTTGTGGGGGAGGGGGTCTACGTCTTCCTGCCCCCGCATCCCTGCCCTGCCTCAACCGTTCAGTTTAGTACTATGTTCCTCCTCTGTTCAATGCTGCGCTGTTGTGCTGTTGTATTCAGGTTTTTGTTTATGGAGCTCTTTTTCTCACACATACACACACCACGGGTGGATGGACTTTTCCGTTGGTGTTCTCTATGAAACCACCACTGGTCTCTTGACACCACGACTTTTCCCAGTCATTCTGTTCCGAGGCGGCTGCTCACCCACCGCATCCTTTTGGGGCTCAGCCTACAGGGCCAAAATGGCCGGCCGTCCCAGGCAAAAAAAAAGAAAAACGACCTTGCACTGGATCTTTTTTCATTGGTGCACAGCAGTTGTCAGCATCTGGAAAAGAGGCCTCGGGCGCACAAACGCATCCCCTACCAGCTGAGAATTTCGTACAGGACCGGACGTGCATAATCCCATCATGCATTCTACAGTTCCTCCTCCCACCTTCCTTCGTCTCGCTCCAAGCCTACACAGAACCGGCTAGGACCTACCCACGACCAGTAGATCCTAAATTGAAAAAAAAGAATGTCTTTGGTGTATAAACGAGTGCCCTGCGGGCTGCAACTTCCCTGGATTCTTTGTTTCCCACAGACAGAAACCGAGAAACTGGGCAAGTGGCACCTCCCCCTTGCTGAGATCTGACCCTGTTTTGCATGCAAAACTCCGAGTAACTGAAGTGGCATCTTGCCTAAAGCCGAATTTAGAGGCTTTATTTTCTTTGTCCTTTCATCCCCTTTGGTTCCCAGGCTTCCAGCTCATGGTCACATTCTGGAGCACATAATTTTGCAGGAAACAATTTTGCCCACGGAAAGAAATGTGTGTTATTGTGCACTTTGCTTTCTGTTTTTATGTTTCTTGGTCAGCATTTCATGTCTCCTCTGTTTTCTTTTCTCTTCCCGACATGCAAGGCAGGCCAGGGAGGGGAGTGCACCTTGCGGTTCACTCTTACAGGTACTGGTGAGGCCCTTTGTATTATGTGTGAGAACTTGAACATATTTGTGCTTGGAAGGCATAGAACTACCTTCTGCCCCTGCGCATAACGCATGTGTTCAACGAATAGACGGCAGAGGTTGCTTTGTTTTTCAGTTTACTGCAGCAACTTTGTGAAGACGAGGGGGGGGGGGGTCTGGGTACAGTAGGCTCAGGTTTTCTGTACTGGATTGAATTTTTCCCTGTACAGTATGGGCCGGTGTTCTGTCCTGTGCACTGACAGTAGGCACCGCGGGTGAAGGTGTGAAGGTGGAGCACAAATAGTTGCAAGAGACCCAGTAACGAAACTGTGAGACTTGGATCCAATTGCAGTATGATAACATTCCAGACCTGTAGTGGTAGGTGCCAACATTGGCTCATGGGGTGAGGCCTCCATCAGGGTGGGGTCCCCCTTTTGCTGATGGACACCCACTGGTCAAGGGTTAAAAAAGAGAGAGAGGAAAAGCGTATTCTAATCATACTTGCGGCGCATGCTCTGCGCAGTGCAGTGCGCTGACCACAGATGGGAAAAAAAAAAAAAAAAAAAAAAAAACGCAGTGCAGTGCGCTGACCGCAGATGGGTGGAAAAAAAAAAAAAAAAAAAAGTAACCGTGATGCATGTATACCATACTTGCGGTGCATGCGTGCGCTGATTGCAGCTGCGCCAAAAAGAAAACAACGAAGCAACCGTTATGTGTGTATACCATACTTGCGGCGCATACGCAAGGTGCGCTGCGCGGTCCAGTGCTCAAAGATGCGCAAACGGCCGACCATAGGGCGTTGAGGCGACACCCGACCAACGAACGACTGACCATTGAGCGTCGAGGCGACACCCAACGGTCGGACCATTGGGCGTCGAGGCAGCACCCGACAGTCAGACCACCGGGCGTTGAGGCCACACCGGACAGTCGGACCATCGGGCGTTGATGCAACACTCGACGGTCGGACCATCGTGCGTCGAGGTGACACCCAACGGTTGGACCATTGGGCATTGAGGCGACACCTGACGGTTGGACCATCGGGCATTGAGGCGACACCCGACGGTCGTTTTCTTGATGCTCGTTCCCTCGGTTGCTGGTTCGGTGCTTCTCTCCCATCGTGGCGGTAATGGGAGACGGGATGGGAAGACAATGACCTCCCTCAAACCATCTCCCATTGCTTGTATTAAAACTCCATAAACTTGAGATGATGTTTGAAGAACGGTGTCGGCGCGAATACCCTTACAAGGGTATCCGCCCTGGTTTTTGCAAGTGACAAAAAATAGGTTTGGTTTGAAATTTGAGTACACTGCACGAGTTGCGGTTGTGTTTTGTTCACGTTGACTGAATGGTTGAGTTGAAATAGAGAGTGTGTGGGCACGCAGTTTGAAGCGCGCGTGGAGTTGTACCATGAGCCTCAAGCTGGCCCACAACCCCGACTTCGTGACCACTGTCCATGTACTATGGACGGTCGTTGGGGGCCCTAGGGGGTGGTAAACTGAGCCTGAGTAAGACGGGCCAAGGGTAGGCTGAGAAGAAGGCGGTAACGGAGCAGCAGCGCGGACTACACGGCTCACTATCTGTCGAGCCGGCTGTAGGATAAGGACTGGTCGAACTATATAGCAGCAGGTTTTCCTCCGAAGTTTCCCTCAGAACAACGCGAGGCAGTGAGCTAGTTTCGCTGCGCAGACGCGGGGTCGGGCATATGACGAGGGAAGCTGGCGCAGACAAGGGAAGAACGTGAAAACGAAGCGAAGTGAACCTGGCGCGGTTCTGCGCTGGATACATGCAGCGAAGAGGGTGGTGGAAGGATTAGTTGGGCGCAGTCCAAAAGGCATAACTCGCTCGATCCTTGTTGGAATCGAGCGAGGAAGAAGGCGTTTTGGAGGTTTGTGGACCCGGCGGATCAGTGGGTAGCATTGGTTTTAGTGCTAGAATAGTAGAGTTGGAGGTTAGTAAGAAAAAGTAGTGCGCGGAGTCGTTCGAAGATGGATATGGCTAGGAGTAGAAATCAACTATCTCGCTCGTTTCTTAGCGAAATCGAGCGAGAGAAGATTCGTTTTAGAGGTTTCTGGCTAGGGCGAATCCTATTGTGAAGTCAGTTTAGTGATAGGCAGAGTGGTTGAGGATATCTGAGAGAAAACGAGTGCGTGGGATATGGAGGAGAGAACGACTATGGAAGGAGTAAAAACTGTGTAACTCACGCGTTCCTTGATGAAAACGGGCGAGTAAAGATGCGAAATGGGGGTTTTGAGGCATTACACAGAGATTGGGCGTGCCAGTTTTTGCGTTTGAGCAACAGTTTGTTCGATACAGGCTGTGGAGTCGGCGCGTGGGATGCAGTATCTAAACTCGGAGGAGATCGGCTTTGTCAGTTTTCCACTTGGGAATGGAGGAGGTATGGGTTTTATCCCTAGGTTTTGACCCCGGGCGAGTTAATTAATCGTGTTAGTTTTTGTGTTAGAGTGTTAGTTTTTGTGCTATGATAGTCAAAGGCTGCGTGGGACCCGAGTGAGGACGGGCGGAATCGGAAAGAAGACGGGGAAGATAACGAAGGCAACGGGGAGACTGACGAAGGGGGGGGGAGAGAGAGAGAGAGAGAGAGAACAGGAGGACGAGGCTG